CTACTATCACTCTGCAGCTCTGAAATGCTTTTTGCTATAATGATTTTATACCATACCAGTATAATGGCCTTCTGACTGTGTCAATCAGCTCTACTTGCGTGTACAGTAATATTATTCTGCAATCTGTCTTGGGAGAATGCTTAAAAGCTTTCTCTCATTTTGTCCATTTAACTCATGTATTATCTGAGTTTTTACATTAAATGGCCATACTTAATATCCCATGACATGTCACCTATTTTCTAGGGAGGATACTGATACAGTACTTACCAAATCCAGAATCTATACTAATCAAATTACACCTGCCCACCTCAGCCAAGAGCAGTTAGTTCAGTGCATCAGCATTTAATCTGTAGGAAGAACTTATAAGGAGGAACAAAAACAATGAGAACTATAGTTGGCTAAATGTAGTCATGGTTAATGCAATTTGTTTTGTGAGGAGGGATTAGAAGATACTGAAATCAAACTGAGGCACAGGGGTCAATTTAGATACAGATTTGTTGCCAGAACTCAGCTTATATTGGTTGCACATTTATAAAGACAAGGCCTAATCTGGCAAATATTTATGCAATTTCAGATATGCACTTTGTGCATTCTGCAGAATGAGACTTCTTGTCTGTAAAATTAAATGTGTGTGCAAAAGCAACAAACTGTAAGACTTTAGGAGAGTTCAGGTGAAGTGTAGATAACAATCATACTTTTGCACTGAAAGACTGCATGGAAGTCTCAAATACTTACTCTAAATCCCTTTCACAGTCAGGTTAATGTACTCGAAATTTTAAGACTTGAAATGCCAGCTGCTGAACACAAAATCCTACTTTGGAACCAGTGCCAAGGCATTTAATCTGTTTGACTTAGACATTTTCCCTAAAAAATACTGGATACACTTAAATCTTATTTGTTGCTTGATTCGGTCAATGCCATGGTGTAACTGAATTCCATGTTAAAGAATAAAAGACTCTATTTACCTAAGAGTTTGAAAATTTAATGTTGCAAGGGCAGCAGGTGTCCATTTATGTGGACACCTGGCTTATGATATCCCATCTACTCTGCATATGAGAACTTCAGATAAAGTTCAGGCAGCAAACATCCAAATACAGGCAGAATTAATCTGCTCAGTCACACAAGAAGAATGGCAAGGTGGAAAAGCAATGGTATAATTAGGCCCCAGCCTTATTAACTCATAGGACAATAAAATGTACCTTTCCCATTATCATTCATTCCATTTTTAAGCCAGCTCTCCTTGGGAATTGGATATTCCTGCTGAATACTTGTAGCTGTCAGTGGAAGACACTTCCAGTTAACCATACAAAAGTGAAGGAAAAGGTCCTAAACAGGCAAGGATATAAGTATTTTTGTGACTTGTGAAAGGGAATATGCATAATAACATGTAAGTAATATGCATAATAACATGTAAGTAAATGACTTTTATTGCTTTTGCTAGTAGAAGGACACTCCTTGGGGCCTGTCCTAACTCCTGCCTGCACCAGGACATTGGCAGCAATCATAAGGAATTTCTTGTACTAGTGTATATTAGTTGGGGGGGAAAAAAACCATAAGCAAACTCAGTTCCATGTTTGAAAGTCAAGAAATTATCATAGAAACCTCTCATGGTTTGTTTTGCCACCATTCCCTCCATTGTGTTAACCTGGCACGTAGCGCTGGCTGACACAGGCATCATCACATCTTGGCTCCTTACCCTGCCCTAGGCTGGGTTTTTGTTTTTGCCTGGGCACAAAATTCAACCTAATTATTTTGATTTCCTCCATCAGTAGCAGTGACAGCACTGAATATACACAGCACCCTTCTCTTTGTAGGATCACAATGGTTTGCAAGGTGAGCAAGCTTCCTTTCCTGTGACCCTGGAAGCTCAGTACATGATTTATAAATCCTCAGAAGGCTGTAGTAGCAGCAAGAACAAAGTATAAAGTTTAGTGAACATGGACAGCTTGTTGTATTGGGCATCCTAAATCCATCTGCAGGGTCTCTTGTGGGCTATGGCAAGTCTTTTGCCTCATGTCTGAGGGTGGTGGGACCTGCCACCAGCCTTTTCCCAACACTTCGCTCAACCCATGCAGAGCCTCAAATCACAAAAATCAAAAACAAGTGTCTTCTGTTTCTAAATTACACTGTAATTAGTCATTTTATAAGTTTATTTTAACATATAGTTTGTTAGGTTGACGGGGTATTAGTATAACTAATAATACAAAAATGAAGTAATGTTTCCTTATTGCCATGTTAAAAGTAAAAATGCAGAATAAAGGGATAAGGGACTCTAGGCAGAAAGTTCTCAGGAAAAGGAATATTGGTTTTCTTTGACCGTGTTTGTTTTTTAATTCAATAGAAATAAACAGTTTCCATGGCAACTGTCATATCAGAGGCAAGGCGCGGAGCAAGGAAGATGCAGTGCACTTACCAATTAGCAGAATGAGTTTTAGGAGTTTTAAAGAGACATTTTGCCTGCTGACATTACGATACATTGCAACTTGGCATTCAAGGGAAGTTAGAGTTTGTTCCTGTACATCCTTTTGGCAGCTGCATTAGCCATTTCATCTTGATGCTGCACCCCTCTTTGTGGTGCCCTCCCCTCTGGAGGTTCTCGCTGCTCCACGGGCAGCCAGCAGCTCCCAGGGCTGCCCTGGGAGGACACCCTATCCACAGGGATTGTGTCTGAGGCACGGCAGTCACCGCTCACCACAAGGTCAGGAGGAATCATAATTGATGCTCTTGTGACACCCAAGATGCTCAAAACACGTGGATAGTGTTAATTAATCTTTGTAATAGCTGGGTGAGACAGGCAAGTATTATTACCCTAATTTTCCCCCCCTCCTATTTTTAATACATGGGGCAGCTGAAGTTTGTTTAGGAGTTTTCAGCATTAGGGAGAAGCAGAAGCAAATAGCCCCTGTTTTCCAGTCCTCGCTACTAATCAGGTCTCCTAGTTCATGTTTGCTGAACTCTCATATCCCTTATTATTATTATTTTTTATTATTGTTATTTTTATTAGTGTAAGAATACTGTTAGTATGGTCTTGAAAATGCAAAACGCTGTAGTGCACCAGAGGTTGTTTCCTTTTTATTTTTACTCTTTCTTTTCAAAGGACTTGGAAACACAGCAGCACAGCAGCTCTCACAAATATAGAAATTATAATCATATGTACTCCTAATTTTCAAGGGTTGGGGTTTTCTTCTCTCTTTTTTGTTTGCTTCCAGGATGAAGGGCATTTTGGTTCCTCTGCAGGCAGTCTGTATATGTGTAAAATTATCCTCATACTGCAGGGTAGTTCAGAGTGTCATGTTTAATCTGTGTATCCATGTGTTGTATAATTTTCATATACACATGCATGCACACATACACATAAACTTTATTTTTTTGCATATATATTTAGTTTTACATACTATCATACAAATACATGTATGGATACATTTTTCCATCACTGACTATAGCACATAAGATATTGACTGTGTTGTTTTTCTTCCCTTTAAAGAGCTCTAACACCAGTGAATTCTATTTGTTTATGTTGTCTCTGGAGGAGACAACCTTTACCAATATAATTTTTACTCCAGCACAACATTCAAAGAAGGTTGTGTTTCAAAGCTTACATATTCCCCCTCCCTACAGAAGAAACACAAGGCTGCAATTTGTCTTTTTAACTAAGCTATGTGGGCCTGGGTAGCATTAAAAAAAAAAAAAAGTGTTGTCCTTGTCACCTGCCATTTTTCTAGCCGACTTGACACCCCCAGGCTTCCCAACAGCTCTTTCCAGCAGGAGCTGTCTCGGAGCTCTTAGCATCACCAAATAATTGAGGTTGTCACATCTCTTGTTCATTGTTTTTTCCAGGCCTGGAAAAAATGCAAATATTTCATTGTAGTCATTAATTTTCCCATCCTTTTCTTCAAGCATCTCATTGGTTTGATCTGATGAAAAGGGCTGAAGGCATTATTGCAAACACAGTGGCATCCAGGTTCTGCCTATAGTGGGGAAGAATCTCATCAGATAAAGTCTCAGGGAGGTCATCAATCACAGTTGCTGACAACCATTTTGCCTTCGTTTGTTACAGATGTGAACATGCTTAATTATTTGTAGTGTAATTAGTTCATGAAATGTCAGGAAATGTCAAACTGTGTTCACAGCACAGATTTTTGCAGCAAAGAGCAATGAGAGCAAGTGTCAGTGGGAGACATGGAGGACTGATGGGGGGAACTGTGTCTGCAGGCAAATGAGGGAAATGGCTTGGGGGACAAATGAGGGTCAAAATATTAAGATTAAAGTTTTGAAAGGGAGACCTTCAAGGGAGCCGAGTAAAGCGGGACATGAATGATGTTACCATGCAGCAGCATTTCAAGCACATGTCTGGAGTGGGAAGAGGGAAGTTAAATCAATATTTACTCTTATTTTAATTTGATTTGTGTAAACATTGGCTTTTGATGGCAGATCTTTAGAAGAAATTCAGCAAAATTCCACCCACAAGTCTCTAACACTGAAAAGGCAACTTGACAGAAGAGAACAAAATTCTAGTGAAAGGAAATTTCTAACACTTTCTTATTTTTTTTTAAATCTTGATATTAGCAATATGTGCAATGATGATGAAAAAAATGCAGATGTAAGTGTTGTCTAAAATTACTGAAATCCTGCTTTCCCATAAACTGTGTATTAGCTTGGCTTTCTGTACCTGCAAGTCAACCAACACAATGATAGTATCTCCATGCTTGAACCCCAGGTGCAGAGATGTGCTGAGCTTTGCCTCCCAGCAGTCTCTGGACTAGTTCCCCTACAAAAGGAAAAGGGAGTTTAATAAATGGGCCAGGTGTGTAATCCAACATCAATTTAGCCAGCAAATTCTTCTGGTTCAATGGTTGGATCTAGCTCAAGTGCCCATTGTGTGACTGCCTGCAGTAGTATTACACGGGTGTCGCTCAGGCACAGATAATGAAAAATATTTTCTTTTTTTTTTTTTCCTGTGGGAGCGACTGTTATGGTGTAATGTAAATGTATGTCTTGGC